TTTTTAACTGTCCTGGAAAGTTGCCTCGTGGGCCAGACCGTGCCGTGCTGGGGTAGTGGCCCCAGTGGGAGCATTTATTGAGCTCCAGCTGCATATCAGGCGCCGTTTACGCTTTATACGTCCCGTCTCATTGACCTCTCAGCGACCTTGATCCTTCATGTTATACCGCCCATGTTTTATGGAGCAGTCAAACTAAAACCGGTGGCTTGAGCAGAACCACAGAGCTGGAGGACTCCCAGACCTGGCAATCTGGTTCCAGAACCGCGTTGTGCAACCTGGTGTGCGGTTTGGACCTCTCTGCTGGGGGGAACTCTCCTTGGGCCCTCCTCAAGAGTGTCCGTGGCCCCTCATTTCCTCTCTGTTTCCACCTGTACCCGGTGGCTCAGAAGCACCCCCCTCTATGCTAAGGCCCTGTGGTCACCGGAGCTGCCACCTAACCCCTCCTCCAGTCCTGAGTCCAGCCTGGGAGGTGGAGAGGCTGGGCTCAAAAATCATCTTATTTTTTCTCCTCTGATCTCTTTGAGTGTTTGATCCCACCAACCTGAGAAGTAGCACCTTATAACAGGTGCTCAGATCTTTTTTGGGGGGCAGGGAGGGGTGGGGGACACCCAGGAATTGACCTCTGGGGCACTCAAGCCCTGAGCCCCGTCCTCAGCCCCATGTTGTATTTTATTTAGAGACAGGGGCTCCCTGAGCTGCCTAGGGTCTAGCTGTTGCTGAGGCTGCCTTTGAACTTGCAAAATTGCAACGTGTGCGCAGTCGAGGGGAGCAATCAAGAGTGGCCACGCGCTTCGGCCCCTTTCGATGCTTTCTTCACTCAAAGGACTCCATTACAGTTTCACTCAGTAGGTTCTTAATCAGGAAAACAACCATCCTTCATGCTAGGCACGGCCACAGACATAATGCATTCACAGCAAGCACTTCTCCATCAATCCTAGCCCTGCAAAGCCCACTCCACCAGGACAGGCCGGCGACAGACCTTCCCTGTGCATGCTGAGTCCAAAAGTCTCAGCCTTAGGCTTTAGTGCAGCAGATGCACACGCACTCAGGTTCCGGCTGCTCATTGGCTCTATCATTTATACTAAATTTGGGGGCTTTTGACTCCCGTGTCAGTCCTTACCAGCTACCACCGGGTTTCTCTATTAGATCATTCACCCTGGGGTCAGATCACCTGGCCTGGTGGCCTCCGCCCTGGTCTTGTGCCTTTCCCTCTTACCAGGGCACGACAGCCCGCCAGGGCTTCACCCTGCTTATCAGGGGAGGGAGGTGACTGTCTGAGGCCACACGGGGGACTGTGGGGTGCCTGGGGACACTGCAGGTTTCCAACTGGGGTTTTACAGTGGAGTTGCCTAGGCCCAGGCCGTCCACACACTCAGCCTCCAAGCCCTGGGGATTACAGGTGTGTGCCACGTCCCGTGTGCCACCGCGCTCAGATCTTGATGTGGTGACCCGTGCCTGTGCCTGCCCTCTGTCCTCAGTGAGTTGTGGCTGTGCACAGTTGAAGGCCACCTAGCATGGGCTCCCTGGCCTTCGGCTGCCCACTTGTGCCAACGCAGAACCTGCCTTCTCCTCTTCAGTGTACCGACATTTATGGAGCACCTGTGGTGTGCCAGCCACTGGGCACAGGTAGTGAGGAAAGTAACTCTCTGTGCCTCCTTGGGTGGCATGGAGGAAGAGCTTGGCATGACCACGTCACCAGGTGATGGCGGTCACAAACCCTGGTAGGTGACGTGCAGACAGTGCTGTGAGGCTGGGCAGGGCTTGGTCCACACTTTCAGTCCTGCCCGTGGGCAGATGAGGGCCGTGGCCTGTTCAGCAGCCTGGTGCCTTCGGGCTTCCCCACAGCGGGGACATTTCTTTCTGGAAGGTGCTGTTCTCGCGGAGCTGGGGCGGGAGGGAGGGCGGGCAGGAGGCAGGACGGCTGGTGGCACCTGTTCTGAGACCCAGAATGTTCCTGCGACCAGGAGGCCGGCAGGGCTGGAGCCAATGGGCGCTGCAGGCCTCGTTGCTCGGGGTCCCTATGTCCCTGTGCGCCGCAGGGTGTCCCGTGCTTAGCCACGTCCTGGAGACACGGACTCCTCTTTGGTTCGGCGTGGTCCTGTCACCTTGGAAATGAACTGGAGCCTTGGAATATTGTATTTCTCCAGGCAGGTGCCGCAGAGCTCGAGGAGCCCTGGCCTGGCCGGTTACCTGTGAGTGACCGCCTGTGACTCCAGCTCCGTCCTCAGGTGCTGAGGCTGCCCCTCGGGCCTGGCACTGTCCCTGGGCGAGCGCTGTCCCTGGGCCTGGGCATGTGCTAGCTGGGCTGCTCTGGGCAAAGGTGATCTGCCCCTGTTGGTGGGAGAACAGGGGACGTCCTGGATGTCACTTGGCATAGGGTGCAGGCCTGCAGGGATCAGCTGTCCCTGCTCTGCCCCTCGCTCTGAGCAAGGGGGTGTCAGGGATGTGCAGAAAGCCTCGCCCCTGGGGAGGGACAGGGGTCCTCCGTGCATTGCGCTGGGCTGGTGAGCCCTCACCCGCTGTGTGTCGCTGTCCTCTGAGAAGCAGGGACATGCCAGGCAGCTTGACTCAGCCAGGCCTGGCTTCTGTGGCCTGTGTACGCACTGCAGACTCCACAGATGCTTCCAGAACGTGACCGCTTTTGGACCTTTGGGGCCTCAGCATCAGATCTCAGTCAACAAAATTGCCAGAGCGCAGCTGAGGCGCGTGCACCCGCTCTCCTGGGCAGCACGGCTGCGGGCGGCCGTTGCCAGGGTTACCAGGTGTGCTGACATGGCCTGCCAGGTTCACATCGTCCCCGGCCCCTGGGCAGAAGGCCAGGCGAGGTGTTGAGGCCCAGGCGGCCTCTGCGGGCAAAACCCAGGCGGATGCAGGTCCCATTCGTGTCCCAGGGAGGGTCACGGACACTGCTCACCTGGTCCTGGAGACCTTGCGCAGGTGTGAGTGGGGAGGAGAGCACGGTGGACTGTCCTTGTGTCCCCTGAACTGTCCTCATACACTTGTCACCAGACTCTGGCTTTCACCCTCCAGAGAGCCCCTGTCTGCAGGCTGGGCAGGCCCGTGTCCCCACAGAGGGTGACCGACTCAGGCCCAGCCCAGGGGCACTGCTGGACATAGCCCTGCACTGGGATTGGCCCCGGGTGGGCGCTGTCCCGCTGAGCTACGCCCTGGCCCTATAGATGGGGTCCTGCTGAGTGGCTGAGGCTGGCCTCCAGTTGTGATTGTCCGTCCTGAGGCTCCCGGGTCACGGGGATCACGGGCCTGTGCCACCACGTCTGGCTGAGGGAGGCCCCAGCTACTTGTTATTTTTTTTAATTCTGTTTTATGATGGGGTCTGAGGTGCTCAGGCTGGCCTCCACCTGGCCTCCGCCTCCCGAGCAGCTGGGTTGACAGCACCACTGCGCCAGCCTGGAGAAGACCTTTAAAGCACTGTGTACCTCCTGTGGCCCCACTGAGGGTCCCCTCAGCCCAGCTGTCCTGGGATCTGGTGGGTGGTCAGGAGGGCTGCAAAATTTGGCCTTGTACTTTTTCTAGAAGTTTCTAGAAGGATCCTCCTTGCTCACTCAGCAAGCTTCTCAGTGCATTCTCAGCAGGGGCAGGGGTTGGGCTTCAGAGCCCGGCAGGCAGTGCCCGGTGGTGCCAGACCACGGCCAGCCCTCAGGTCAGGGCCTGCTGGGGGAGGGGACCGTGGTGTCTGGGCAGGGTCTGATGGACTTTGGAGCTCCCAGCCCTGGGAGCCTGGGCAGGTCTCTACCCAGAGCCTCAGGTCAGCCCCATAAAGTAGTACCAGTCTGTCAGCCTGAAAGGGGTCCTTTTCTCTTTCAGAACTGGGGAACCAGCTCCAGTTGGGGACCAAAGGGGACTCTTTTTTCTTTTTTTTTTGGTACCAGGGATTGAACTCAGGGGCCCTTGACCACCGAGCCCCCTCCCCAGCCCTATGTTGGGCTTTATTTAGAGACAGGGTCTCCCTGAGTTGCTGAGGGCCTCGCTGTTGCTGAGGCTGGCCTCCACCTTGCGATCCTCCTGCCTCAGCCTCCCAAGCTGCTGGGATGACAGGCGTGTGCCCTGCTCCAGCCAAAGGAGACTTTTATTCTGGGTGAAGCAGGAGAAGTGGGAAGTCAACCCTCCCGTGTGTTGCACCCTGTGGGAGGAGGTTGCAGATAGAGGGCTACAGGAATGAGGGGCCAGGTGAACAGGGGGTGTTCATGGACTAGAATAAAGCTGGAGGTCGTCTGGCCTCGCTGGCAGCCATCTCCGCCTGGCCAGGTCCAGCCAGCCCACCTGAAGAGTCTCCTGTCTCCCAAGACAAGGCCAGGGCGGGGCAGAAACCCAGCGAGGCCAGGCAGTGCGCCACCAGGACAGGGTGCTGCTGTGCCCCTCTCAGGGTGGGGTGGGTGGAGAGACCAGCTGATGCCCAGGACCAGAAATGGACCCAGCCGGCCTGCCCTTGGGGACCGCGGGGCCATGGATGACCCACCAGGCAGCGCTGAGGACCAGGTGCTCCCACACACAGGGGAAATGGCTGCCGTCCCTGCTGGGGTCACAGTGGCTGGAGATTTGGGGAGGGAGGGGTGCTGTGGGCGCAGCCAGGAGTCGCGGAGGGCAGCAGGGAGCTGGGTGTCCCCTGGCCATCTCGAGCCGTCACCTCCCTCTGGGCCTGGGATTTCCCCTGTCCTCAGTGGGCCGGGTGCTGATGACGCTGTGCTGTGTCAGGGTCACTGAAGGCGGCTGTCTCTGTCCCCTCTGTGCTCACCGCCCTCCGTTAGGAGAAGGTCGCAGTGTGAGGTGGCCCTGGCTTGGCTGGAGGCCTGGGGACATCAGAGCCAGCTCGGGGCTGCGACCCTGAATGAGGGTCGAAGCCTGGCTCCTGTGCTGGCCACAGACGTCAAACACACCAGCCCTCTGCATCCCTCCTGTCCCCAGCACTGCGCTTGCTGGGAAAGAGGCCACAAATGTCTTGACCCTGGTGTGCTCAGGCCACTGTGTCAGCCTTCGATGGCAGGTTCAGGTGTCCTTTCCCATCAGGTGGCTTCTCTGGCGCTGTGGGCCAGCAGGGTGGGTGGGGGCGTGGCTGAGGTTGGGGGACACTGCACGGAGCCCTGGAGTTCACAGGCGCTGTCCCGTCTGGGGTCCTGGGGGTCCGGGACTGCGCTCCTTCTTGGTGGCCAGGGAGGCTTGTGCCCGTTACTGTTGGCACAGGTAGAGACTCGCACTGTCACATCTGCCTGGGTTGGGGGCCTGTGTCCCCTGGCTTTGCGAGGTGGGTGTGTCTCCCTGCACCCTGATCCCAGTGGGATTGTGTCGCGCTCCTGGGGGTCTGAGTGGCTCTTTGGGGGCTCCCAGTGCAGTCGCTGCTCTTGAGAGAGACATTTTCCTCCTCTTGTGTCCAAACACCAGGGAAAGATCGCATCATATTTGTGACCAAAGAAGACCATGAAACTCCCAGCAATGCAGAGTTGGTGGCCGATGACCCCAACGATCCGTATGAGGAACACGGTGAGTGACGGGGACCTTCGGCCACCCGCAGGCGCCTGCTGGGTGAAGCTCAGTGTGGACACTTCCTCTCCCACCTGGTCCGAGCCGAGGTTGGGGTGGAGGTGCCGTCTGGGCCCAGGTCAGCCTTGCAGGCCGCGCGTCCTGCCTCTGCCCTCCTGGGGGGTGGCTGTGGCCTCGGTGGCCGATGCTCCACGGGGGTGACATCTCAGGGGTGGACGTTGGATTCCAGCAGTTGCAGGTAGGGAGGGGTGACAGGGATCTGTGTGCTCTGTTGAGTGACCAGATTGCATTCTGCCACCTCTGCCACCCTTATCAGCCAGCCGTTGTGGGAATCGTCCTGTGAGGCTGCTGCAGTCCCGCTGTCCCCTGTGAAGTGCTCCAGCAAGCACCTGGCGTGGAAGGGACACTCACAGTCGGGCAGCTTCCAGCAGTGGGATCCAGCTCACCCGTCAGAGCCATGGACAGGGATGACTGGGCCTAGGATGTCACTCTTTCTTTTTTGGTACCAGGGATCGAACTCAGGGGTGCTTGACCCCTGAGCCCCCTCCCCAGCCCTATTTTGTGTTTTATTGAGAGACAGGGTCTCGCTGAGTGGCTCAGGGCCTCAATTTGGCGGAGGCCGGCCTCCAACTTGCGATCCTCCTGCCTCAGCCTCCCTAGCTGCTGGGGTGACAGGCGTGGGCCAGCTGCTTCCACTCCAAGGCTTTGGGTGTTGGACTTCGAGGACACTTAGCCAGTTCACCATCAGGAGTGCCCAGTTTGCCCGCCCAAACCCACTCCTGAAAATAACACCAATAAAAAGCCCAAACTCCTCCTGACGTTCATGCTGAGCGCTAACACAACTTGTGGTGTGAATCGGTGATAAATAGGACCCAAGAGCTGGCAGCTGGCCCTGGAGTGGGGGGTCCTGGTGGGAGGGGTCCAGTTGCTGTCGCAAGTGTAGACAGTGCTGGGCGGGAAACTCCGTTTCCCAGATTAAAGCTCAGGATGTCTATAGGCACCCTGTCGGGGACAGTGGCAGGTACAGCTCTCATGCAAAGTGTCCTTGTCCTGAGGAGGGAGGACCGCCACAGGGACAACTTGAGTCGGAGCTCCGTCACCTCCAGTGCTGTGTCTGCCTTTAGCTCCAAACGAGTTGAGCAGATTTTGTGGATCCATGAAGACTCGGGAGGCCACGGGCCAGACTTTTTGTGCTCTCCTGGGCGGGTTTAAACGTGTCCCCCGGCTGTGAGCCCCTGCCCTGCCCTGCTCCCCCCCTCTAAGGACAGGAGCGTCAGCAGGCCTGGCTGTGATCCTTAATGTCACCAAGGTCGCTCTCAGGGACAACTGGGCGCAGGTGTCTTACCAGACTGAGCCTCCAGGGGACAGCATTTGTACCTGTTCAGCCCCCAGGTCCCTGAGAAGTGGGGAGAAGTGGGGAGATGGGGGTCACACGGGCTCTGGCCGCAGTCCTGACTTGGATCCCATGAAACCCAGGAGTGGTGTCAGGTGGCGTAGGAGCAGCTTCTGTGAGCATGGCGGTCCTCTGTCCACACAGAGCAGAAACGAAGCCATCATTTTGAAAGTGTTTTTAAAAACCAGAAGCGCTGTTCAGACGTCAGCAAGGTTCAGAGACAAGATGCCACAAGGTAGCAAAGTTAGGGGCACCGTGGTGTTGGCCTGTCATCCCAGGACTCGGAGCCTGGGGCAGGAAGGTCCCAAGGCTGAAGCGAGCCTGGGCCACTTAGAGCCTCTAAATAAAATTTCCAAAGGGCTGGGGAGGTGGCGTAGTTGTTGAGTGCCTCTGGGTTCAGTCCTTAGTATCAGAGCACCAGGGGTGCCCTGCCACGGAGCCACGTCCCCAGCTCCTGTTACTTCGAGACAGGGTCTTGCTAAATTGCTCAGGGCCCCGCTAAGTTGCTGAGGCTGGCCTCCACCTCGTGATCCTCCTGCCTCAGCCTCCCCAGTTGCTGGGATGACAGGCGTGGGCCACCGGCGCCCTTCCAGTGACCTCATTCACCACCTAAGTGCTCACTCCTTTGGGTGAAAATATTTAATTGTTGGAGCGTGGCCTCGTGTGCTGGGAGGTTTTAGAATAGAGATGAGCGTTGCCCGTGGAGAGGGATCCATGGCCACTCTGTCCAGCTGAGCCAGGGAACTCTGGACTCGTGCTAAGCATTTGAACTTGATCCAGCTCCAAAGGTGGGTGCCCAGGGGAGCGCCTGCCAGGCCTGGGGGGTGGCTGACTTGGCACTTTCTGAGACCCTAGGGGACCTCTCACGTCTTCCTGCCGTCCTCCTGTTGCAGGCTTGATACTGCCCAACGGAGACATTAACTGGAACTGCCCGTGCCTGGGGGGCATGGCCAGCGGCCCCTGTGGGGAACAGTTCAAATCGGCCTTCTCCTGCTTCCACTATAGCACACAGGACATCAAAGGGTCAGACTGTGTGGACCAGTTCCGGGCCATGCAGGAATGCATGCAGAAGTACCCCGACCTCTATCCCCAGGACGAGGAGGAGGAGGAGGAGGAGGAGAAGGCAGCGGGACACGGAGAGCCAGCGGCTGCCCCCGAGGCCACTGTGACCAAAGACGGGGTGGACTCCAGCTAATGCAGGCCCTGAGGCCCCGCGTTCCAGCTTTTCGTCTGCAGGGTGACATGGACCTTCTGCAGAGAGCCTTTGAGTCACCCACCCTCCAAGAAAGTGTCTTTCTTGTCCTGCTGTGTGCACTGTCATGTACAAAGTGACTCCTGTCGATGATCCGGGTGACCTGGCCCCCTGACACCACGGGGTCCCAGGTAGGTGACTTCTCTGTCACGTTGCCCTGAGCTTTCCCACTGTCACACACTGTGCCGACCGAACCTTCTCAGCAGCCCCTGGTCCCCACCCCGGAATGTCCCTGTGAGTGAGCTGATGTGATGTGATCCATTCTGTCCCTGTTAGTAGATCTTACAAATCTTTGGGAAATGAAATAAAAGCCAAAAAATACTCTTTCTATAAAAATGCCGGCGTGGAGCCATCCCCAGTAGCAGATCCAGATGGCCGGGGCTGGATTTGGGTGCGTGAGGGGGGACTTCATCCCTGATGGATTCTGGTTCCCGTGTTGGCGTGGAGGTCTCCCACAGTTGGAAGGTGCACACGTGGATGTGGGTCCCCAGCCTTTGGCTGGTTGTGCTGTGCGGAGCCCTGGCCGGCCTGCTCACACTGGCCCTCACTCTGGTCCGCTGCGGTCTTCTTGACAGGTCAGGACCTACCTGTGGCCAAGAGAGGACGTGGTGTGAATGAAGTGCTCAATTAAAAGGAAACGCGATTCCTACCTGCGTCTGAGCGTGTCTCTTATTTTCACAAGTCGGGCATACGTTGGATATAAGGAAATGGGAATTTTGGGAAATTGCAGTTGAAATTCCTCTTTTAAAGATCCCGACAAACCGGGTTGACTGTGTTAAAAATTTTCTACCGTGAGTTCAAAGCCAGCTCCTGGTCTTCCTGCAGACATCGCAGCAGCTCCTGTCGGGGTGATGCTCCCTCCCATGTGGGAAGAGGAAACCGAAGCCTCTGGCCTCCTTGGCCTCCCCGGCCTCCTTGGCCTCCTTGGCCTCCTGGCCTCCCTGGCCTCCCCGGCCTCCCCTGCCTTCTTGGCCTCCCCGGCCTCCTTGGCCTCCTTGGCCTCCTGGCCTCCCCGGCCTCCCCAGCCTTCTTGGCCTCCCCGGCCTCCCTGGCCAGGTCAGATGAACTGGTCACCCAGGGGATTTGGGGGTGGGATTCGGTGGGTTGTCTTTGTAGGTCGTTGGATCGAGGGTCTGTGTTCCCCACTGGCTGATGGCCAGAGGCCTCCGTTCTTTGCCACATGGGCCTTGCCTTCACCACTGCTTCGAACAAGCAGTCCCACACCATCACCTGTCATCAGCCGGGTCCTGTGTCATTAATTCCCGTTTTGCTTGATGTCAATGTTGCGATTTTATGAGTCCAGCTTTTCCATTAAGGTTCTGGAAATTTCAGTCCACGCCATTTGGAGGGTCTCACGTTATCAGAAGCCTGTTTGATGAGAGTTGTGTAACTTTTCCATGAAACTTCTTAGAGACATGACGCTCTAGGGTTATGTTGTTTGCAAAGAACTTTTAGCGAAAGCAAGAAGACTTCAGAACTGGGCACAGTAGTCCTCGCTACTCGGGAGGCTGAGGCAGAGGGGAGGCTGAGGCAGAGGCCCAACCGCTGGAGGCCAGCTTGGCAACATACACTGTCTTGAAAAAAACTAACAGAAAAACCCTCAAATGACCATGATATAAAGCTCTGATGAGAGTTTGAATAATAACGATGACTGGAAATTTTGGTTATTTCTGTGGCAAACAACAATTTGACCTCACGATGGACGGATAACCTACAGTTTTGTAATGTACATTACTAACCTTACAAATGGAACTCAGATTTGAGTATCATTTCTTATTGGATGATGTTTCCCACATAATTTTAGCATATCAAATAAGCCTTCTGAAGGGTTCAAACGTTAGTTTGTGGTTAAAAAAATTTTAAATGCTTTATTGAAATAGGATCACAGGGATCAGTGTATAGTTGATAAAAAAGTGAATTTTTTTGGTATTGGGAATTGAACAGAGACACTTAACCACTGAGCCACATCCCCAGCCCCTTTTTTTTTTGAAACAGGGACCTGCTAAGTTGCTTAAGACCTTGGTAAGTTGCTGAGGCTGGCCTTGAACTTGTGATCCTCCTGCCTCAGCCTCCTGAGCTACTGGGATTACGGGCGTGCACCACCGTGCCCGGCACAAAAGTTAATTTTAATAAAACCTTATAAATGAATCCATCCGTGTTGGCTCTGACCACTCAAGAGATTTTCATAATTTTATAAAGACCTTTTTAAAGACCCATCAATCTTTCTAATTTTTTATTCACTCTTATGATTCTCTTTCAACCAAAATACATTTTGTTTTTAATGGTTTTTCATCAAAAATACTTCCTGCTTTCTTTGTACACTTTGCATATAGAATTCTTTTATTGCTGGCAATTTTAATTCTATTAAGTAGGATTTCTAAATTTAGTAGCTGTAAGTTCTGGTTAAAACCTAGGAGGTAAGCAGTTTGAACCAGTCCAATTTATAAGTAATTCCTAAAAATGTGTGTTTGCTCATAGGAGAGTCTTTTCAGTGATACACAGGACACACTTACTGAGGATCCAAATATGTTTTATTTCTACATGAAATTTAAGAAACCAAAGGCAAATAAGCTTAAACCTGTGTTGAGTGCTGATAGTGTCGCAGCATTTAGAAATGACCTGGGTCGTCCATGAATACCATCTAATTTAACTTAGAAAAACTCTTGAGGGTATAATCACTTGGGAAGGTTTTGGAAGTCGTTTTTATTAATACGTATAATTTTTATTTATCATCAATCACTGACCCAGTGATGTAGGTGTCACCTGTTACAGATTCCCCCAGGTCACCTGGAGCTGAGCGAGCCTTTGGCCACAGCTCTGGGCTGCCCAGCACTCCATGGGGCACCTCCCTGTGAGACCCCTGTGGCCACCTACATGTCCCCTCAGCCACCCAGCGAGTGTTATTTACGGTGTGTGTGTGTGCGTGTGTGTGTGTGTGTGTGTGTGTGTGTGTTTAGTGCTAGGGCCTGAGCCCAGGGCTTCACACGTGCCAGGCAAGTGCTCTATCAGGGACTGATGTCCCCAGGCCTCGAAGTATTTTTTTCATTGATTTTGAAATGTCGCAGCCTGGACTGGAACTTGTGATCCTGCTGCCTCAGTCACGTAGCTGGGATCAGAGACTGTCCTCCAGACAAGTGCGACACGAGGTAGGAACACGCTGACTTTTTGCTGATGAAGTGATGTTGATGAGATTCGTTTCAGCGTCGGAGGGAGGGTTGGTGGGCCCAGAGGAACACCCTGATGGTATCTGAAGTAATGAGTCGGTGTCTGACATCATCTGATGTTATCAGGTACGAATATGAATGTCATCTGTGTGTCCCCTTCAAGGACCGCACCTGAGAAGGGCAGAGCTCAATTCCCCCCTTTAGTGATGCTCCCCATCATTTAATCCTTTATATTGAAGAGCATCATTAGCATTATCTTGGCTTCAAGCCTTCTAGAAGGCCAAGACCTTAGTTGACGTCTTCCTTTCCACGGCAGCTTCTTCAATGGACCCCGTAGTTTTAATGCACCGTGGAGCCAAACGTGGGAGCAATGAACAGGTTCACAGCGGAACACCCACCACAGCAGGTTTCACATCCACCAAGAGTTGGAAACCGTCTCCCACCAGCATGATGGGGACCCACACTTGGATGCCCTTCTAGTAGGAGCAAGTGCCGCTTCTCTCGTGTCGATGGCTGTATTCTTAACTCTTGTCTCTTGCCGTCCATTTGGATGCAGCCATCTGAGCTGGTGAACTCTCCATGTAGATTTCGTCCTCCGCCAGTAGGTAATCTCCTGCCAAGCGGTTCTGACAGTTAGCCACTCGCATCTGGTCTGTTGTGTGGCCAGGAGGTCGAAGGCTGTGGCAGCCTGATGAATAACAATTTCTAGTTCAGCGTGGAAGTGAATGATCCTGCTTAACACGTAAACAGGACATCTATAGCTCCAAGATGGGTGACCTCCTAAATCAAGTTTCTTTCCAATGAACCTTTTATTTTTTTCTTCTCCAAACAGTCATCCATCTGTAGCATTCCTCTGGTGACACAGGCCCTGAATCTATGTCTTACCGCCTCTTGGTTACAGTGCATCGTCTCGACACGTGGTTCACATCATCTCCCTGGTTGGAACAGGAGTCGGGCAGAACCTTGTAAGATCATCAAAGGGATCCAAACTAGGTAATAGACTCACATTCGGGTCAGCATGGGTTAAACAGCGCGAATGAACAGAGCCAAACTAACAACCCCAAACGAACCCTAGAAAGCGTATAGAAGCAAGATAAAAAAAACCCCAAAACCATAAGTGACTTGACTGTTCAGTTGGGGTGGAGAAAACAACAGTGAAAGGGCCCCTCCAAACAAGTTCAGGGGCTGAATATTCCATTCTCTGCCCCAGACTCAACCTCCAGGCTTGGAGGAGTGTGGGCCAAACTCACTGGCAATCTTTCTCCGACCCATTGGTTGAGAACCTGTGGGTTTTCACGTACCATGCCCTGATATTTGACCATTCCCTCATTAGTCAACCAGTAGTGTCCTTTATATTCTAACGATGTCAAAATTCAATGAAGAACTCTGACAACCAGTTCTTGTCCCATGGCCACTTTATCAGCTTCCGACACCAGAAGAGCTGCGGCTGCAAGGGCCCGTAAACAAGGTGGCCAGCCCTGGGCTACAGAATCCAGCTGTTTGGACACATAGGCCACTGGACGGTGCCATGTCCCCAGCATCTGAGTCCAAACTCCTATAGGTACTCGAGACCAATCAAGGACATGCAGGAAGAAAGGCTTCGTGAGGTCCGGGAGCCCGGATCCAGGTGCACAGGTGAGTGCTTGTTGACCGTCCTCAAAGGCCTTTGGCTTAGATGACCCCCACATCAGAGGATCCCATTCTCCCCCCTTTGTGGCTTCAGAGAGGGGTTTGCCATGACTGGAAAGTTGGGGGTCCATACATGGCTGAACCCAGGAGCCCCCAAGAATTCTCTAGTCTGATGGCAGGTTGGAGGGACTGGAATTGGCAGGTCTCCTGTGTCTTTGGAGGCCCAGTGGCTATTGTCTGCTCTGTTGCTGCGTCAGATGGTGACCAAGGTATCTGACCTTTTTCTTGGTAGATATGGGCTTTTAAGTCACAGTCCAGTGCTGTCCCAAGGATGGTGTACTCCAGCCCCTGGGAGGAACTGTCATTTAGGGAAGGGAGGCGTACACAGAGCCTCTGGTGCTTTAAGATGCAGGAATTTTTTGTTACCTCCTGGTGCAGGATGTTGGCTGCTGGGATTCTCCAACTCCTACATCTAATGTGAATCTTAGCAGAGGCCCATGACCTGGAGCATCATTTGTGTAAAAGGCACCAATGTCAATCTCACAGTGGGCCGTCTGCCAAGGCTGGGGGGCAGCGGTGCAGTTACGTGCAGGTCCCAGTGTGGCAGCCGCATTGTGCCCACCCAGGTGTTGCTCCTTGACTGCGTGGCTTTCTCCTCTGGTCAGGTGGGAGCCCGCTCTAACTGTCCATAGCGGCTGCCCCGCTTGTGTTCTGGTTCAGTGTGCCTGGGTGCATGGGGCTCTGTGGCCCTTCCTGCTGGTGGCTCACAGCGTGTGGCTTGGAGCCAGGGTGGCATGTCCTTTTGGAGGGAGCGCCCTATGGCCCACTCTTGGCTGTTAACATGAACATATTCCTGGTTCATTTGGGGACTTGCAGCAGCTGAGCCCTCCTGGGGCGCTGGGTCCCGTGCATCTGATGCAGTTCTGTGTCTCTGGGACCCCTGCCATATTGGTCCATCAGCGACTTCTGAGCAAGTGGGAAGAAACTGAAAAGGAGGGGCTGGGGCCACCACATTCACTCCTTCCTTCTCTGTTCAAGGCTTAGCATCTGAGCATGGCACGGGGTATTGTTAGAGGCTTCCCCTTTAGTCTGGCTGGTGGAGGCGATCCCCCACTCACTGCCTTGACAGGGTCACAGTGAGGATGAATGCTGGCAAAGCCACGCTGGTTGGTGGGAAACCGAAACCATGAGACCCTTTTTTATGTCATTGGGACTTTGCATTTTCATGCTGATGTTTGTCACAGGAGGCATGAGTATGTTAAATGCCAAACAAATTAAATTTCAGATGGCTAGAACAGAACAGGTGGTTCATGCCTTGGAACTCAGCATACCAAGGACAAAGTGAAAGGCTGTTCTTCTATCTCAGTACATTGTGGACAAACCTAATTATGGACAACAATCATCCTCTGATAGGTCATGAGAACCAGTGCACCTTGACTGAGGAACAAACTCTTTGAGAAAGCAGCTCAACCAGTTTTATGAGAAGAAATCTAGGAATCAATTAAAATAGCTTCATAAGACACAGTTTTAGAATAACGTTAGAAATATCATTTTATTTAGATTCTTAAGTTTAGACATTCTTAAGTCTTTAGTTGTATGGGTTTCTGATATGCTTTAAGGATGATTCATAAACTTTAGGATATTTTAAATATCAGATTTAAAGGGACTTTTTTAGATGGGAGTTTTAGATTAGAAATAAAGTACAAGTGGACTTTAGGTTAATGATGGGTTAGGAGACTTAGAGTCTGGTTTACGTAGTTTGGCATTAGTTAATAAGAAAATAACATATCTTGGGAAAAATAGTAAATCTTGGGAAAATCTGAAGGATGTAAATGAGTGACATATTTTATTAATGATTCTGTACTTTTAATAATTACATAACTGAAGGTCACATCCTGGAAAAATGTCAATTAAGGTACCCTCAATCATGGTTAAGGAAATGTCCTGTCTTGGCAAAGTTTTAAATTATATAATCAATGACGTACTGTGAATGTATAATGATGAGAAAAATTGTAATAAAAGGGGACCCAGAGAAAGCTGCTTTAGCTCTCTGTTGAGGGCTGCTGTAACAAGATCCATCCTCCACTTCATCTTCTTGGGCTGCCTGTGTTTGAGTCCCTGGATCTCAATGGATGAAAACTGCGGTGGCCACCTTCATCAGCTCACGAGCACACTGCTCAGTCAAGCCCTCTAGGATGGTAAATTTTGGCCAAGGGCTCTCTGAGCCTGTCCCACAAAGGCTGCACTGATCACCTGTGGCTTGAGCCTGTGCATTTCCTCACTGACAGACCAGCACTGCGGCTGCTGCATTTGTATGTGCCCCTCCAGAATGTTGTAGGGACAAACAAGGCCAGGCACCCAAGACAGCAGGAAACCCTTTAATAGGGCTGCAGCCAGGTTCAGAGGGTACAGCCTTTGCTGTCATCCATCCATCCCCTGAACCCCGAGTTCAGAACTTAAGACCCAGCATGCACGGGGAGGGCTCAGAAGTTCCCAGTCTGCAGAAGTTCCCATAACAGCAGCTTTTCCTTTCACTGTTCTGGGCAAGTTCAGTCTTCAAGGACAACACCTGAGAAGGGGAGCGCTTCATCTCCCCTTTCTTTCCTCCCCCTGCCAGTTGTTACCATGGGCCCGTTTGTAACCTATCTTTAACCCTGGAGCTGATATCACCCCCTGTTACTCAGAAACAAGGCTCGCTGGGCTCAGGCTGGGGAGGGCGGAGACTGACAGACGTCCTGTCCAATCAGAAGCCCCCATGCTGAGCGCTGTCCAATCCTGAGTGCTGTGCCATCCTGAGGGCTGTCCAA